CCCTCCTCTGCACACCTTATCCCTACCCTCTGGTATCGCTATTCCCACTCCTGTTCCTGGATTCCATGTGTCGTGAGTCCCCATCTCTTGTCTATGCTTGTGTACATGTTCCGGTCTAGTCTGAATTGAAAAGTAGTACTGGGGTCATGATAGTGGAGGGTGAGGAAGCCTCAAGGTACCAGAGGAATATTGTTTCATTGATGCTTTACCTGCGCTCTGGTTGACTCATCCCTTCCCTGTGGACCCTCTGTCGGGGGATTGTTCCATTGTCTACAGATCAGCTTTGGATTTCTGCTCCACACCACCTTGTTCTCAACCGTATTAATTTGTTTGTTTGTTTGTTTGTTTGTTATGTGTCTTCTGATGCCTATTACCTGGTCCCAATGACTCCTCCTGAATGTACCAATGGAGTGCTTCTTCCATGTAGGGTTGTTGCTTCTCTGCTGAATGGCTGAGAAGCTTTTAAAACTCCAAGCTTTTAAGACTCCAGACACTATATCTCTTAATAGCCAAGCCCCATCTGCATTCTTCACAACATTTGCTTATGCACCGCTTTATGAATATTTTATCTACATTAGTCCTTTAAATATATGACCTTGACTAGGTTATGTCCTCATCCGGTAAGCCAAGGTTGTGGTCTTCTTCTCCTGTAGCCCAGCTACATCATATAATGTATACTATGTAATCACCTGACAACTGCTCTTCTGAAATCTTAGTTAGTTCAAAGAAAGTGCAAGATTTTTTGGGTTCTCACCTCAGTGAATCTTCACACATTGACTAGGGCCTCTTTACCCTTTCCTTCATGTAAGGATGTTTTTGTTGCTGTGAACCTCAGTTCCTGTAGCTTAAGGTCTTCCAGGCATTTTATAAAACCAAACAAGAGTTTCAATTAACTAAGGAAAAATCTCTGCTTTGAGCAGTCTTCAAGAATAATCTACATGGGATCAAAATGACAGGAGCAGCTGGAAAGATTACAAATGAGCCTTAGAGGGCAATGGGTTAATGAGGGAAGACCAACTGGGCAAATGAGGGTGAACATGGTTACAAAACTCAAAGAGTGTGATCAATGTCATTGATTGTACACGTAGGAGCCGTTGGATTAGTTGTGTGTATGCTCAACAACAACACAATTAATTCAATTGTTTTTTAAAACAAATAGGCTCAGTGATGCTTCTCAGTGAATGCCATTCAGGACCTGCATCTGGCCAAGCCATCTCATACTGGTGCGTTAGAAATAGTAAGATTTCTTCCTTCACTTATGATCTGAGTTCTAAGTAGAGGGATAGTTGTAACTCTTCAGGATAGAATAACCAATTACCTGGGGGAAAATAAATTTGTGTCATCTACGTTAAGAAAAATGGAGCCCATGGACAATGGGAAATTTGAGTACATGTGTATTACTGTGGCCTATCCTTGTTCTCCAAAGTGATCTGAGAAAAATATTCTTTATTTTAGTAGCATTACTGAGGTCTAATGTACTTTTTCCTCAAATTCACTCACTAAAAGTAAATATATAGTCATACAACCATCATCACAAAACATTTTTTTAAATGTGTTATTTTCCAATTTTGATTAGAATTCATATTCATTCTTATTCATCTTCACGCTCTCCAACTTTATCACAACTTTTCTTTAGAATTGTCTCTTCCTATTCTGGTGAATATCGATCTCCCTTTCTGTGAACTCTATAGTGCTTGTCTACCTCTGACCCAGACTTTGGATATCAACTTAAGAAAGCCCCAACTTTCTCCCACGGAGTGGCTGATGGTTTCCAATTGCTGACCATCCGGTTGGGCAGCCCAACTCCTATCCTTTGCCCCCAAGGCTCCGTAGAAGTATCATTTGTACTCTTATATCTCCCATACTCTTGACCATACTACTTGAAATTCTATACCAGTGTGGAAAGTGCCATTAGATGAAATATTTCCTTATTGATTATTGAATGTATATTAGCTAATAGTACTGTATTTGTGTTAAGAGAAGATCCTTGCTTATATTGATCTATAAGGGTAAAGGTTTATGACACGTACAAAGTTGTTCAGCATAAATTATAATAATAACAATTATATACACATACTTAAATAGGATGGAATTAGAGGAGAGAAACCAAGCAAAAATGTTAAAATGTTAACACTTGGTGAATCTATGGAAAGTGTATGGGAGTTTATTGTGCAAATATACAACTTCACTGTAAATCTGGAATTTACAGGTGATTCCAATTCTAATTACGGCTAAGGCAGAGAACCACTGAACTTTTTAATTATTTTATTTGGAAAACATTTCAGTCACCTGAATGCTTTTAGAAACTCCAAATAGGTGGGCCCCACAAGCTAGATATTCTGCTAATTGGTCCAGGAATCTGAATTTTTAAATAGCCCCATAGATGAATTTAATATGCAGCCACTGCATCATAAGAATAATAACATTCAGCAATTACTTACCTTAACTTAGAGTGGATTTTTAGTCAGACTACGTTCCTCCCCTATTTGCATGTTTTTCTTTATTTCTCCTGTCACCTTTTTATACTTTTAAAATTTCCTTCAAAAGTACAGCAAGCTTCCAGAAACAACACAGGTCCCAATTAAATTTTAACTGTAATGAATTAATTAAGATGGAAGTAATTTCTTAAATGTAGCCATAATCATGCCACCTAGCTATATATACATATTGTCTCTACATGCACATAAACGATATGCATATTGTTTATAGTAAATGCACTAGTTTTTCCAATTATAATAGATGGAATGGGGAGTACATGTTCTGTCAAAGAGCCTTGCTAATTGCAATTTTTGACACATCCTTTAAGAAGAAAAATAAAAGCTGTCAGATACAGAGACAGTCATAAAGACTTCTAAGAAAAAGAAATATGGATAATTCTAAAATAGCATTTGAGATAAAAGATGCTAAGAACTTAGGGGGAAGGCACACATTACAGAGGACAAGATGTCAAATACTAATATTTAAATTATAAGCAGAGAACCTGACAAGGGGTATAGTTAAAGGTTAATATCAAGAGAAGGGGGAAAACTAACCTACCAAATGAGAGGAATGCTTATAAATCACATATCAAGGAAGGGCTTAATATAGAAAGATGATTAAAATTCCCCAATAAAACAAAACCCAATTTTTAAAAGGCAAAGGACTTGAATAGTTATTTCTCCAAAGAAGGTATACAAATGGAAAAATAAAATGTCTTAAACTTGATTGTGGTAAAGATTGTACAACTCCAGAGAACTCCTCCAGAAGAAGGATACAGTGGGAGGGCTTGCATTATTTGACTTCAGCACATACTATACAGCCACAGTTGTCAAACCCCATGGTATTGGTACAATGACAGATACTCAGTCCAATGGAAAAGAACTGAAAATCCATAAATGAAATCATCAGCATACAGAAACTGCTCTTTGCTAAGGGCCCAAAAAATTTCAAATGGGAAGCAGATGCCCTCTTCAACAAGTGTGCTGGAAAAAATGGATATCTACCTGCAGAAAAATGAAACAAGACCCTTATCTCACTCCATGCACAAGAATAAACTCAAGGTGGATCACAGACCTCCAGGTAAAACCCCAAACTACTAGGGCCATCAATGAGGGAATTGGGACAAACCTGAGAACTTTGGTGCAGGGAACACATAGGCTATCAGAATTAGGAAACAACACAAATACAGATGAGTCACAAATTGACAAGTGGGATATACTGAAGATAAAACACCTATGTACATCGAAATAATTCACCAAGAGAATAATAAGAGAGCCACCGACTGGGAAAACATCTTTAGCAATGACACATCAGACAAAGGCCTTATTACTAAAATCTACAAAATACTCTGCCAGCTTCCAAAAAGAAAAAACTAAAGTTTTTTAGTTAAAGCCACTGAATTGTACACTTAAAAATAGCTAACGTGACAAATTTTTATATTATTTCTCTTCTAGATAGGGGGTACGTGTCCTGTCAAAGAGCTCTGCTAATTGTAATTTTTGAGGACCAGCATTTCACAGCCTTGAGAGAGAGAGGCTGTCAGACAGTTATAAAGGACTCCCAAGAAAAGGAAATAGGGATATTCTAAGATAGCATTTGAGATCAAAGATACTAAGAACTTAGGGAGAAGGCACGTTACAGAGGACAAGATGTCAAATACTAATATTTAAATTATAGGCAGAGTAAATGAAAATCTTCAACCACAAAACAAGTCAACGGAGATACTTAAACATGTTTGAATACAGAGGGACAGATGACCCTGTAGAAGGATTCAACAGGAGGAAAACACCAAAGACAGAAAAGAGAGAGTCAGGGACTCACCGAGTCTTGGTCAAGACAAGATTCTAAATGGAACCAGACCATTTCCTCTTTTTATTTTTGTATAAAGCCCTTCAGCAGTTCTTTAAAACTACAGCATGAGTTCTTGAAAAGCAATGAGATGCAAAACTTGTATAAAGAACAAAAAGAGAGTCTACATGGGGCAAATCGTCTACTTTGAATCGTTATTCTGGAAACTAATGACAACTACAGGAGAAAGCCCAGGCTTTCCACACTCACAAAGAGTTAGTGTCTCAGAAGCCCACAGGGGCAGCTCTAACCCTGTCCTTGAGGGCCACTTTGGCTCAGACTTGACTCGATGGCAGTGAGTTAGTTGTTTGTGGTTTTATAGGGTTGCTGGAAGTGGGAATTGACTTGGTGGCAGTGCGTTTGGGAGTGACAGCTAGAATTTCACATTTGTGAAGGATTCCTGAGCATCACAGACTCAAGTTGAAGTTTGCTCCAGTATGATCACTCTCGTGGGTGTTATTCCTGTGTTATAAAAGACCCCCGTGAATTAGGATGACATTTACAAGACCCCGGTGAAATCTGTTGAGGACCCTGAGATTAGCAATCGATTCTCTCTTTTCCTGAGTCGTCACCCGCCATAAATTGAGAAGAGAAACTAGTGAGACTGGTAAACTATTTTGATACCTTCTTTAATAACACTCTGAATTCATATACTAGTGTGATTAATTACTGTGGGTGTACGATCTTCAATGGTTCTTTATTCTCTCCACCGTCATTCAGGCAGGGGCAAAAGTAAGGATAAAGTTTCTCAGTGAAAGTGCTATCGAAGGTATAAATGTGGGTCATGGTTGTACTATTGTAGAAGGACAACTGGCCCCCTTCATAGTCCAGGTAAATCCCCACCTTTTCGATGCTCTTGGTCAGTTTCAGACTACAGGAAGGCAAATCCAGCGCCTTTAGATCAGTTTGGTTCCTTAGCCTTAAAAGCCAGAATCCTTGTTCAGGAGTCAGGGGACAACTGCCCTTCCGAATAATGGATTCTTTGACAACGCCAACTGTCCATTTTGTCTTCTTTGCCACTTCTACTTCCCAGTACCACCTTCCAGATGTGAAGCCTTTGGAGCCCAGCACAGCTACGCTTGAGTCAAACCTCTCTGGATCATCAGGCAGTGTCTGCTTAAGGTCGCCATGCCACACACTGGTTCCGTTTTTGGAGATCACTAGATTTGGGTGGGAAGTTTTAGGGTCCAAAGTTAGTGGAGATAAGCCTAGTTTCAAAAAAGAGAAAGTAGGGTATGGGAGAAAAGAGTTGAATGTAAATTCTCATAATAAAAAACTATTTCTATAGACAACAACTTCTATAGACACCCGTCCCTCAATACTCATATGCTCTTAGGCTGTCAGTGGATAAATTACTTATATACGTATATTGTTTTGGGAATCCATATTGTTGACTTTCAGACTTTTTTATATTTGTGGTAAAAACCAAACTTTTCTGGTATGCAAAGTGTGTTGTAGTAAATAAAATAATACAAATCTTTTCAATACGTACTAGTAAGTATAAGAACATAGAAATGGTAAAAGGGTAAAAGATTATCCCAGAAAAACATTCCATGGAAAATAAGGGCATTTTAATACACATGAGATATATTGGGGTCACTTTGGGCAAACAAAAGGGGGACATAAGTTAAAAATAGCAAATCATGAGAAATGGAATAAGGCCTTCCTGGTTATTAGAGGCACGTCAGACTGAACTAACTCGGAAAGCGTTTAGAGAACAACGGTCAAGTGTTTATAAATGGTTCAAAAGATAATGGGAGTTGTAGAAACTGTTAACTTGGCAAATAGTTTACTAGTGTCTGGATGAGAGAGGGAAAATCGTGATGTTGTTAGTTGCCATAGAGTCTGTTTGCACCCATAGCGACCCTATGCACCACAGAACAAGCAACCCCGGTACCGCACCATCCTCACAGTTGTTCCTATGTTGGAGCCCATTGTTGCAGCCACTGTGTACATCCATCTTGTCCAGAGCCTTCCTCTTTTTCGCAGCCCCACTACTTTACCAAATGTGATGTCCTTCTCGAGGGACTGGAGAAAGACAACCTGTCCTTCCTGACAACATGTTCAAAGCACATGAGACGAAGTCTCGACGTCCTTGCCACTAAGGAGCTCTGGTTCGTCCAAGACAGATGTGTTGGCTCTTTGGGCAGTGTGTGGTACTTTCAGTGTTCTTCCCCAGCACCACAATGCAAACATGTTGTTTATTCTTTGGTCTTCTTTATTCAATGTCTAACTTTTACATGCATACGAGGCCATTGAAAATACAATGGGCTCCCATCTAAGTACTAACCAGGCCCAACCCTGCTTAACTTCCGAGATCAGACGAGATCGGGTGCGTTCAGGGTGGTGTGGGAGGCCTGGTAGGGCATGATCAAGGGTAATGTAACAAAGAGGAAGTGCTGAAACCCTGGTGGGGACTGAGCATGATAGTGGG